GTTCAGCGTTTACCATAACACATCCCTCTCCACTCTGTCATAACCCTTTTCCAAGTCCATGAACGCACAAAAAACTTTTTGGTTTTTCGCCATAAACTTCTCCGCGATCATGAGCATGGAAAAGACTACATATAAATGCAATAGAAATGCGGTCGCTAAGGAGTATGTTAGGGCTGAATCTGAGTGATAGAGTGAGAAACTGTGTGTTAAAAGAAGAGTTTGGTCACGTAGAAAGAATGAATGATGAAAGAGTGACAAAGCAAATTTATATGGCAGATGTGAACGGCCGAGTCGGGAAGGGACGCCCTAGAAAAAAGTTTGTTGACCAAATTGGCGATGTTTTGAAAATGGGCCACGTTAGAAGTACCCTTAACCGACGAGCATGTATGCGTAGATATATGGATGTAAAGGAGGCGAAAGAGGTATGTCAGGATCGTGCCAAACGGAAGTCCGTAATCTCTGCCTACCCCTCTGGGTGACAGGCGTGAGTGTTTATGTTATATGTTAAAAGAAGAGTGTGGTTTGCAAGATGATGCAGTCACTAGGATTAAGAAAGGAATGCTTCGGTGGTTTGGTCATGTAGAAAGAATGAATGCGGAAAGACTGACAAAGCAAATATATGTTGCAGAAGTGAATCGAAGAGTCGGAAAGGGACGTCCTAGGCGGAAGTTTGTCGACCAAATTGGCGATATACTAAAAATGGGCCAAATTAGAGTACCTTTAACCGACGAGCATGTATGCGTAGGTATATGGATGTGGAAGAGGCGAGAGAGGTATGTTAGGATCGTGCTAAATGGAAGTCTGTAGTCTCTGCCTACCCCTCTGAGTGACAGGCGTGGGTGTTTATGTATGTATGTATAGTTATATTCAAGGTAATAATACTTTATAACGCGGATCTTAGTTAATTAACTTTTGACATCTTTAATTTTCTTTTAGCGATTTATTAGGAAATCATAGCTTTTTCATTAACAAATCAACAAGTTAAAAAGGATTTTTTGGCTTCCCACAGATGGCGGTATAAGCATCTCTACCACAGGTGTACGCCAATGTTATTGTGATCGTTAATTTGCTTGCCAAACGCCAAGGGTGACAATAAGGTAAATCTTCTCTTCAACGGAAGAAGTCTATGTACAGTAATGCAATTTTAAGAGCAGACGATGAAAAAGCAGTATCACCTAGTATCACTTACATAGTTGCTTTATAATTGACTACTTTATACAAGGACTCCGTGGCGCACGGTAGCGTGTCTGTCTACAGATCAGAAGATTGTGTGTGTAAATCACGACGGGGTTAAACTAATCTGGCAAACATAAAATGTATTATTATCTTTCCGATGTCGCGGACATCAAAAGTATAACAAGTATCAAAAGTATAACAAATTTAATGATTTGTTATAATTTTGATTCCTTCAAAATGAGTTAGCAAATTATTATTATTATTATATGATCACATATATTATCACAAAACTATAATATTACAAATATAAATACAATCTATATAAATAATATTATTATTTCGGCTATTATCCACCGCGGCGAGGAATTCTAAGCCATCGGTGAATTTAGGCATCCAAAGATAGGAACCTTCTTACTATTTGAGCCGTATTTAATAAGGCCGATTTTTGAATTAATGCTTTCAGCCATTTGCCCAAACCTAACTTGGACAGATAATCGTCCATATTTTTACCAATAAGTCCATTGACTGATACAACTACTGGTACAATAATAGTAGAATCAACGTCCCACATAGCGACAATCTCATGGGCCAAGTCGATATATTTTATTTTTTTATCATTCTCTGCTTTTACGAGATTCTCGTCATGAGGAACACTGATATCCACTATTATTGCCATGCGTGTAGTTCGGTCTATCACCAAAATGTCAGGTTTATTTGCCACTATAAACCTGTCTGTGATAAGTGACCGATCCCAGTACAGCGTGACACTTCTATTTTCAATGACTGGCTTTGGTTCATACTTATAATAAGGAACATCCTGTTGAGTAAAGCCAAATTTAATGGCAAGCTGTTGGTGTATTATTCTAGCTACTTGGTTATGTCTGTGCAAATACTCACCATTTGATAGTTGTGAACAACCGGAAATACGAGTAACATGTCTGAGGGACTCTCCAGAGTGGTGACATGCGCGACATACGTCAACTGTGCCGTCCCTCAAAATGTATTTCCGGTAGTTGTTCGTTTTAATTACTTCATCTTGTATTGCACAGATAAAACCTTCAGTTTCTGCAAAAAGGTCACCAAATTGTAACCAATGTACTGATGCAACCATGTCTACATAAGGATTAGTCAGTGCTTTAAAAAATCGACCATGCAGTTGTTTGTCATTCCAAACCTTTTTGCGTTCATTTATAGACATAGTATGAGGCCTCTGCCAGTCCTTTGCCGACATATTAAGCGGGATTAATGATTTGTCATTAATCACTACATCATTATGAATGTGTGATGTGTCTTTTTTTTTAATAAAATAGTCTCTGAGGTTGTACACTTCACGGTTGTGTAGGTTTTTAATGTTTAATAAGCCCCGTCCACCATCTTTTCTTGGAAGATACAACCTCATGACAGATGATCGTGAGTGGTGCATTCTGTGCGTAGTCATTAATGTACGGACTCGTCTATCTAAGTCATCCAATTCCGTTTGAGACCATCTTGTAACACCAAAAGTATATAGAAGGCTAGGTATTACCCAGGAGTTATATGCTCTAATTTTGTTTCCGCCGATAAATGACTTTTGATAACTTTTTTTAACCTTATTATTATGTGGGGTATCTATATAGTTTTCTCATCTGGTTGGGTTCTATAAATATATAATTATAAATGAAAATGAAAAGATAAATATACATATATATCAATAACATAAAATAAATATAAAAATACATAAATAAATAAAAGCCCAACCAGATGGAGGCCCTCGGCAGGGGAGACCAAACGGCCGAGGGTTAGGGGGAAAGGGAAAGAAACCGGCGGACGATGCGGGCGGTATCGAGGAGCACCGCCTTCTGCATTTGAGCCCGGAGCGGTCCGCCACGTAGTCCCAGTCGCCTCAGATGACCCGAGAGGCTGACTGGGATTAGCCCGTTTGCAGAGACGACTACAGGAATAATTTCGGTCGGCAGACCACCCCACATGTCCGTCACCTCGTGAGCCAGGTCCAGATATTTTGTTTGCTTGTCTGTTTCGGCTTTCACGAGGTTCTCGTCATACGGAATGGTAATGTCGACCAAAAATATCCTTGACTGTGCCCGGTCCATCAGCACAATATCAGGCTTATTCGCAAGAATAGTCCTGTCTGTGATGATGGCCCGGTCCCAATAGAGCCTGGCGCGATCATTTTCGAGCACGGCTTCCGGCAAGTACTTGTAATACGGCAATTTCCGATCCACGAGACCGTATTTCAGAGCGAGCTCCTGGTGAAGAATTCTGGCTACTAGGTTGTGCCTGTGCAAGTACTCAGAGTTAGAAAGCGCCGAACAACCGGAGATGACATGCCTAAGTGACTCACCGGGATGGCGACAAGCTCGACAGATGTCCACGGTGCCATCCTTTAGGATGTATCTCCGATAGTTGTTGGTCTTAATAACCTGATCCTGTATTGCACAGACAAAACCCTCGGTTTCCCCGAAGAGATCACCAAAGCGTAGCCAGTGGAGGGAGGCTACTGTGTCTACGAAAGGCTCATGTAGAGCCTTGTAGAACCTCCCGTGGAGCTCCTTCTCCTTCCATACGTTCTCCCGGTCGGAAATTGTCTGCACTGCCGGGTCTTGCCATTGCTCGTTGGCTAAGGATAGAGGGGTAAGTCCTTTATCACTAGAAATGACGTCCTTATAGAATGGATCATCCGATCTCGCCAGGAAGTAATTACGGAGGCTGCACACTTCGCGATTATGCATGGTGAGCGCGCTCAAGAAGCCACGCCCACCATGCTTTCGCGGCAAGTACAGCCTCATTACCGACGATCTCGGATGATGCATCCTGTGGGACGTCATGGTAGTGCGGACTTTTCTATCCAGGGCGTTAAGTTCAGTCTGAGTCCACCTGAGTATGCCAAAGGTATACATGAGGACAGGCATGACCCAGCCGTTATATGCGTGTGTCTTATTCACACCGGACAAAAGGCTGTTAAGCACTTTGGTCAAGCGTGCATAAAACACGTCGCAAACTGACTGTTTCATACCAGCCTCATCGATACCGATGTTCTGTGACATACCCAGGTATCGGTATGTTTCAGCCTCGGAAAGGGTCCTTAAGTTGACGGGCATAGATAAGTCTATGCCCTCAGAGTTAGCAACCCTCCCCCTTTCAACATGGAGGACCGCACACTTATCCGTTCCCAGCTCCATTCCAATAGAATTGCTAAATTCACAAGTGATGTTTAGCAATTCCATAAGATGGGAGCGACTGGAGGCGAATAACTTGAGGTCATCCATATAGAAAAGGTGGGTCACTTTTGTACCTCCTTTCCGAAGCTGAAATCCCCTCCCGGAGCCCTCCAGTAAAGTACTGAGAGGGTTCAGGGAGAGGCAAAACCAGATTGGACTCAGACAATCGCCCTGAAGATACCCCTTCTTATCCTTATGTGGTTCTCCGCAGCCATCATCCGCTCGCCCAGATAGCAAAGGATCGTACTCCATTGCCCCATACACTGCTCGAGGAAGTCTCCAACTGTACAGTCAATTTTGTACAGCTGGAGGACTCTCTTTAGCCATGTATGGGGCACCGAGTCGAATGCCTTTCTGTAGTCTATCCAGGCGGCGGAGAAATTCCGACGGTTGCGTTTCACCACTTTGCCAATGACCGCGTCAATGAGGAGTGGTTCCTTGGTTCCACGACCACCGCCCCGGCATCCATTTTGAGCGCGTGACATCACCTGATTTAGCTCCAGGTGACGAGTGATTCTCGCGCTCAAAATGGATGTCAGTGTCTTATATATGGTGGGTAGACACGTGATGGGGCGGTATTTGCTCGGGTCTGTGGTATCCTGATCTTTAGGAACCAAATGAGTGATCCCAGTAGTGAAGAGGCTCGGGAGCGACTTCTGATCGAGAGCCTCTTGAAACTGTCGGGCGAGCACAGCGTGACACACTACGAACCCCTTCAGCCAGTAATGATGCAGCCCGTCGAGCCCCGGACTTTTTCCAGTTCGGGGCCCTACGGACCGCCTCAGCCACGTCTTCAGGCGTTATGGTGACGGGGTCCATAGGCGTAACACTTGCACTCTGGCTCGCCACAACTTCCATCCAAGGGCCCTCGCTGTGGTTTACGGGCTCTGACCACAGGCCACGCCAAAATGCGACAGTGTCAGCCTGATCCGGTCCTGGGCCCGCTCCACATACCTCTGGTCGCTCCAATGATTTATAGAGCCTCTTCTGATCACTCTGGAAGAGACGATTCTGGTTGAACCGCCTTGACCTCTCGCTAAATCGTCGAATCCGCTTCCCCCAAGCAGCGATTTTTTGCTTCAGGTCATCTATGCGCTCCGTTAGTTTTTGCGTGATATCCGGCTGGAACAAACTGATATTTGTCCCAGCAAACGCCATCCTAACGGTGCGCATAATCCTCGGTCTATTATTACCCGACCTGAAGCTTGTCAGTCTGCCGATAAGGGCCCTTGCCTTTGCGATACGGTCCTCAATTCTTTTTCTCCAGGCTGGGATGGCGCTACTTTTTTGAGTAGCACGTCCAGCCACGGGAAGTTTGGCGCCAATAATACGGCATACTGCCAGTGCGGCGCCAAAAAGAATTGAATCCGTCTCGCAAAGGTCCCGGCTGGCTTCCAAATAGGTCACCAGCATTGGGTTAAGAGCCCGCACGACAGCCCGATTTCGCTTGCTAAGGGGTATGCGGGGAAGTCGCGGTCGATTTTCGAGAGGCATGCTGCGCGTTTCCAGCATCGACTCTTCCAATATGCTCCTCATTTTCTCTAGTTCGTGGGAGACTATTCCATCATCGTCTGAATTAGCCACAAATGGAATGTTGACGGCAGCATCCACATATGCAGTTTGTTGCGCATCTAGTGGCGCCGCATTCCCAGCCGTAGCATTTCCATTCGATGAAGGAATAGCCTCACGTCGTAGTCGCTCGAGTTCGGCGTCACCAAATATGTTGGAGCGCAGGATGTACCTAACTCGGTCTGCCAGGTTTTGCTCAGTGACGGATAGAGATGGCTCCAGCTCTGCAAAAAAGCGATGCATCCGAGCCCGATACGCCAAACATCCAGTTTCTTCCCCTTTTGCCCTAAAATACGCCCGCAGTGCGTTTTCATTCATTGATTTAGACCAACGCATGCGACGTGCTCCACCAGCGGCGGGTGCCGCTTGCTGAGTCCGAGAAGACCCAGCCGACACCAAGCCTTCTGGTGGGGATGATGGATGCGGGGGGCTGCTAGGTGGTCTTGCAACACCCCGCGCTCGGCTGGCGGCCCGCATGCTGTCGCGTCCAGCGCCAGCTCCAGACGCGCCCTGGCGACCTCCAGGCAGCGGCCCTTTGCGCACTATCTTTTTCTCCATCATCCATAATATGGGCGTCCATTAACGGGAGACGCCCAGGCCCGGCACCGTATCGTGGACGGCCATAAGCACAAACGGGCCTTTGCACCCTGAATTCTGCCGAGGCACGGCGCTCACACCTCTCGCAAGGCGCTGACTGACTGCGTTGACGTAGCAGTTTTGTCACTTAACTGTTACGTCAGCGGGCGATGGGGTCGTCAATTCCCTACGCCATTTTATTATTATTGTGGGGTATCTATATAGTTTTCTCATCTGGTTGGGTTCTATAAATATATAATTATAAATGAGAATGAAAAGATAAATATACATAAATATCAATAACATAAAATAAATATAAAAATACTTAAATAAATAAAAGCCCAACCAGATGGAGGCCCTCGGCAGGGGAGACCAAACGGCCGAGGGTTAGGGGGAAAGGGAAAGAAACCGGCGGACGATGCGGGCGGTATCGAGGAGCACCGCCTTCTGCATTTGAGCCCGGAGCGGTCCGCCACGTAGTCCCAGTCGCCTCAGATGACCCGAGAGGCTGACTGGGATTAGCCCGTTTGCAGAGACGACTACAGGAATAATTTCGGTCGGCAGACCACCCCACATGTCGGTCACCTCGTGAGCCAGGTCCAGATATTTTGTTTGCTTGTCTGTTTCGGCTTTCACGAGGTTCTCGTCATACGGAATGGTAATGTCGACCAAAAATATCCTTGACTGTGCCCGGTCCATCAGCACAATATCAGGCTTATTCGCAAGAATAGTCCTGTCTGTGATGATGGCCCGGTCCCAATAGAGCCTGGCGCGGTCATTTTCGAGCACGGCTTCCGGCAAGTACTTGTAATACGGCAATTTCCGGTCCACGAGACCATATTTCAGAGCGAGCTCCTGGTGTAGAATTCTGGCTACTAGGTTGTGCCTGTGCAAGTACTCAGAGTTAGAAAGCGCCGAACAACCGGAGATAACATGCCTAAGTGATTCACCGGGATGGCGACAAGCTCGACAGACGTCGACGGTGCCATCCTTTAGGATGTATCTCCGATAGTTGTTGGTCTTAATAACCTGATCCTGTATTGCACAGACAAAACCCTCGGTTTCCCCGAAGAGGTCACCGAAACGTAGCCAGTTGAGGGAGGCGACTGTATCTACGAAGGGCTCATGAAGAGCCCTGTAGTACCTCCCGTGGAGCTCCTTCTCCTTCCATACGGTCTCCCGGTCGGAAATGCTAAGCACTGCTGGGTCCTGCCATTGCTCGTGGGCTAAGGATAGAGGGGTAAGCCCTTTATCACTAGAAATGACGTCATTATAGAATGGATCATCCGATCTCGCCAGGAAGTAATCACGGAGGCTGCACACTTCGCGATTATGCATGGTGAGCGCGCTCATAAAACCACGCCCACCATGCTTTCGCGGCAAGTACAGCCTCATTACCGACGATCTCGGATGATGCATCCTATGGGACGTCATGGTAGTGCGGACTTTTCTATCCAGGGCGTTAAGTTCGGTCTGAGTCCACCTGAGTATGCCAAAGGTATATATGAGGACAGGCATGACCCAACCGTTATATGCGTGTGTCTTATTCACACCGGACAAAAGGCTGTTAAGCACTTTGGTCAAGCGTGCATAAAACACGTCGCAAACTGACTGTTTCACACCAGCCTCATCGATACCGATGTTCTGTGACATACCCAGGTATCGGTATGTTTCAGCCTCGGAAAGGGTCTTTAAGTTGACGGGCATAGATAAATCTATGCCCTCAGAGTTAGCAACCCTTCCCCTTTCAACATGAAGGACCGCACACTTATCCGTCCCCAGCTCCATTCCAATGGAATTGCTAAATTCACAAGTGATGTTTAGCAATTCCATAAGATGGGAGCGACTGGAGGCGAATAACTTGAGGTCATCCATATAGAAAAGTTATTATTATTATTATTATTATTATTATTATTATTAGGATGATACGAAATTTTGCTAATTTAGCATTATTTAATGTATGTAGTATGTAATGTTTAATAATAAACGTTAACTATATAGAATAGAATAGAATAATTATTCAATCTATTTATTTATTTTATTTATTAATACCTAACCATCTTCTCTACTGAAATAAAGATAATATTTGATTACAATAACTTCACGAATCATCTTTGGAAGGAATTGGTGTTATTTAGGGAACATAAAATAAGTTAATACACGCGATAAAATTTGTTAAAACTATTTTTATTTAAAAAAAGGCTGCTCAAAAAAGTTGAAACCTTCGATTGAACCTTCGGTCGAAGTTGGACTTACTTAATTCAACTATTTATCCTAGGTCTACTCTATTAATATGGAAGGTAGCGAGTATAAATTAACAATTTATACTCGCCACTTTCGATCATTGTTATTCGAAGTTCGTCACACTCGACAACTTCGAGTTTAATACTCCCAACAACTTTCGGCATAGGTGTGACCTGACGTCAAAAAGAATTTTATTCTTTTTAACTGTTTATAAACAGTTATTTTTTTACTCTTAGCTTCCTCTTACTAAGGGAGCTTTAGTCAGAAGTCAATCGGTCAACAACGAAACACAATGTAGAAAGTTCGTCACGTTTCTTCTATATTTTTCCTTTTTTTTAAGAGACTTAGCCCCCTAACACTATGATGTTCTCCTACATCCTGGAGGCAGATTACATACATATATATCACAAGAACAAAAATCTACGCCCGGAAAAATTACTTTTATGTCATCAAATATTTATTCCGCATGGGATTCGAACCCGCGGCCCTTGTTACCTTACCTCTTTGCTATATGGAACACCTAGACCTATTATGCGTTTTCGGAGAGCAAACGAGGGATATTTCGACAACAAAGCTTGCTCACTCCAACATTTTGATGTAGGATGGTATGAATGCTCCCCGAACTAATGCCTACAATCTTTTCAAAGTCCTATATGTGATTAGAGGGTCTTCTCGCACCAACATTTCAGTAGTTCATACATTTTCTGCCGTTACTGCTGTTTGCGGGGCCCCGGTTCTTTGGTTATCTTAAAGGTTAATTTTACCCCTTTTGAATTCAGCAAACCACCTAAAAAATTATTGCGCGTGATGGAGCTTAGTCCCCTAATGCTGACTATAACCGTGGTAAGCTTAATTGTTCGGATTGACCAAATTTAAAATCATAACAGATCACAGCCCGCAATTGCTCACGGTTAAGATCCATCGTTTTAAATGAAAAGCGCGGGAAGCGTTGCAGGAAAATTAGTAGAACTTTGTTTTTATATAATATTGAGCAATTGGCTTATGGAGTTGTATTATTGAATAAATTTGCTTTTTAGAAATATATAACACAGGTGCGTTCCATTTTTCAATGTCGAGCATCTCAAAACTTATTTAGTGTCCTACGTATAAAAGAGACTGTACCACTGATTATTACACTCCGTTGCCACGCAGAAAAATATAGTGAAACCAATTGGCTGTAAAATATCAAAATTAAGAAATTTATTTATATATTTATTTAAGCCTTTATTTCCCAAAAAAAGAATTACATAAAATTAAATATATTACAAAATTTCATTTACATTTACAAAACCAATCATGCTTTAAAGAAAATTTTAACAAACATTTAGATTTTTTTTAATCATTAAAAGAAAATAACAATTAATTAGGTACATTTTTTTAAATTATCAAATATGAAATAATAAAAGAAATTACATAATCAAACTAATGAAATAAACCAAACGTAAATTGAAATCAAATATATATATATATATATATATATATATATATATATATATATATATATACATGTATCTATCTTTATCTATCTATCATGTATCTATATAGTTTGTGTCTTTGGGATGTGTATTTAGCAGGTATGGTAGATATGATAAGGATATAGAACGACAAGTAAATGCAGGGAATAGAGTGAATGGGGCACTACACTCTATTGTGAAGAACCAGAATGTATCAAAAAAAGGCACGTATGATAATTCATAATGCTGTGTTAGTCCCTACTTTAATGTATGGTAGTGAAAGCTGGGTGTGGCAGAAGAAGCACGAAAGTAGAATAAATGCTGTAGAAATGCGGTCTTTAAGGAGTATGCTAGGGTTGAATCTGAATGACAGGATGAGAAATTGCATGATAAGAGATAAATGTGGTATACAAGATGATGTTGTGACCAGGATTAAGAAAGGAATGCTTCGGTGGTTTGGTCATATAGAAAGAATGAATGAGGAAAGAGTGACAAAACAAATTTATATGGCAGATGTGAACGGCAGAGTCGGGAAGGGACGCCCTAGCAAAAAGTTTATCGACCAAATTGGCGATATTTTGAAAATGGGCCACGTTAAAAGTACCCTTAACCGACGAGCATGTATGCGTAGATATATGGATGTAAAGGAGGTGAAAGAGTTATGTCAGGATCGTGTCAAATGGAAGTCCGTGGTCTCTGCCTACCCCTCTGGGTGACAGGCGTGAGTGTTTATGCTATGCTATGCATATAACATGTAATGAAAATATATATATTATTATATATTTTAATTATATAATTTAAGTATAAATTAAGAAATACAATGCATTAAATATGTAGGTACTTCGTTAGCATGTATTTAATTTACTTTAAAAAGTGTAAGCTTTTCCTATCAACTGATAATCCAGTTCTGCCATGAAAGCAGTGACTGATAGTCGTTAGCGATATCTCCAAAACTTAGCAACGTCTGATAGTCATTTGTCTAAATGTGCCTTTAAGTTTTTCTACCTATAAGTAAAGCATTGAACCAAGTAGTGACGGTGTAAAAATACCCTCTACAGCATATCGCCATGTGTGTCGTAAGAGGCGACCGAGAGAAACTAAAACAGGAGATGTACGGAAGCAGCTTCCTGATAACAACCAAAAATAATAAAAACTGCGGTGGCCGACCCTAAGAGGCAATCTATGTAGGAGGACTTCGTTCAATTAAGCTTTGAAAGGCTATAATGGATCGATGGATAGATGAATTAGCAGTACACATTTCAATGTGTTTCAATGTTAATAAAA